CAGCCCCCGTTATTCTGTGGCTGCGTTTCGGTTACGTGCGTTAACAGTTTTACCCGGCAGGTGGCTCTGAGCTGTTCATACATTGGAGAAGTTAGGAAATCAGCCCCTGTAGGAACAGACCCCACTCACCCGTAGCCAGGAGAGCAGCGAGGATGCAGACGGCAAGAGAAACCTCCATGGTGTTGGGGAAGCAGTAGATCGGCACTGGGGTCTGTGGTGCAGCCAAATCTCCAGTTCGGGGGTTTGTCACAGACGGTCTGAAATGAGATAAGAAGGGAACTTACACATGTATGAGCCAGTTGATAGAGTGGGAGGAACCACAGAGCCATTTGCCACAGTTCTGGGGTAGCCGCGCCTCTGACCCCTTCATGGCTGGTATGTTCATGGTACCCACACAGAGAAGTCACAGACAAATATCAAATACTCCTGCTGGAAGGTTGCAGTGTAAAATGCCTTTCTTTCTGAGAATCCAACAAAATTACACACAAGAACCCAGATCAAGATAGAGGCGAAGCAGGCTGCTTTATACGACAGAAAGAGACAAAGCCAGTGGCTCTCTAAACAGAGGGTGACAAAGCAGGCTGCTCCCTACGGCAGGAAGAGACAGCTCACCCACCTTGATTCTACTCCTGGCTCTAGGAGGGGACTGGGACCTAGTGGTTAGAGAAGTGGGGCCTGGAGCCAGGACTTCTCGGTTCTATCGCTGGCTCTGGGAGGGGAGTAGGGTTCTCGTGGTTGGACCAGGAAGGCTGGGGCCAGGACTCCGGGGTTCTATTCCTGCTCTGGGAGGGGAGTGGGGTCTAGCGGTTAGAGCACCAACAGACCAGAGGGATGTGACTTACCAAAACTCCTTAGGGGTTCAGGCTGAGTAGCGTTTGCCAGGGGTGGAGCAGATGGATAGTTCAGTGAAGCAGAAAAGATTTGCCAATGTCTGTCTCTCTCCTCTTATAGAAGGGCTCTGCTACGTGGACTGATGTAATGCACTTTTGTTTGGTTGAGTCCATAAGTTCCTAGTCCCCTCGCCAGCCCTGCCCCCACCCAACGGTGACCCAATTTGGACACATGAGCACATTGACAAATTCGCCACCCTTCCTGTTGAGAAAAAATCACAGGGATGAGTGAAACCGCCTCCCCTTTAAATCATGGGAGGGCAGGGGGGGGGGCAATATGGGGAAGCAGGTCACACAGTGGGGGGGGCAGGACTCAGATTCCTGGGTTCTATTTCTGCCTTGCTAAGGGCATGTGGGTTAAGGGCAGGACTTCTGGGTCTCATTCCTGCCCCTGGGAGCAGTGGGGTGAAGTGGTTAGAGGAGTGTGTGGGGGGGAGTGGCAGCACTCCTGGGTTCTGCAGAGTGGGGAGTACTGTGCTCCCCTTAGAGCAGGGTGGGGTCCGCAGCAGGGCCCAGGGGAGTTGGCAGGTAGAGGGTTAGGTGGGTTCCTGAATCTATATGTGAAGGGGCCGGAAAAGGGTACGAAGCTGCTGTGACATTTTCCACACGTCAGGGCAGAAGCTGAGTGTAGGGACGTCGGGGCAATACAGGGAGCCCCTGTCCATTGCCGTGAAAAGGCAGCGAGCGAGAAGGTGTCCCCAGGGGGTTGTGGAGCATCGCTGGGAGAGGGCAGAGTGGTGCTGTGGGGGCGCTTGCCTTAACCTGCTAGTTCCTGTATTACAGACGTTTGTGTTTTGCCAAACTCGATGCTTTGCAAGGGCAGGACCTATCACCAGGCACCCTTAACCCAGCGTTAACCAAGTCCCCCCTCACCCCATGCCCGCTTATGTTTTATTCTTGGATTTATTCCTGGTACCTGGACATTACCTGATATGTAGGGCCCTACCAAATTTGGAAAATGGAACCCCCCCGAGTGAATCAAAGAAACCCAGGGCAGTAAATATATTAAGAAGTAGCCTAACGTTCACTTACAAGATCAGTGTCTGACCACTTCTTCATACTGTCCCTACCCAGTTAGGTAAATATACATGGCTAAGCATTTGGGTACAATTAAACTTGAAGGTACTTGCAACTGAATCGGATATAAAAAAAAACCCCAAGAAGACACCCATCGAATGGACCACGTGTGGTAAAACTGGATTATAGGGAACAAGTTACTGTAACACCAATACGATCTCTAAAACAAACTGACTTGGACCTCACTGGGTTAAAGGTATCCAAGGTCGCACCTCAAGGCGTCCCAGATGTAGACTCTTCATAAGGGCTGGGCAGTCTGGTTAAAATGATGGTATATGGAAAAATCCATAGGAAGGCCTCCAACGGTATATTGGAAGCTGCTGTGGGTGGAACTGAATTAGGAGTGGAAACACTGGATGTTACTAACACCCGGGGGAGTTGGGGCAGGACGGACAGGGTCTGTATTGTACATGAGTATAGAAAATATTTTCAGTTTCAGCAATGAGGAAAACTGAAAATTGACCTTCCCCTTCCCTCTCTTTTTCCATTTTTCAGTCAGGGGGAAGGTTATAAGGAACAGCCGGCGTGGATTTATCAAGAACAAATCATGTCAAACCAACCTGGTTTCCTACTTTGACAGAGCAACTGGCCTAGTGGACGGAGGGAAGCAGCAGACATGAGAAATCTTGATTTGAAGGAGGCTTTTGACACCATCCCAGATGACATCCTCACAAGCAAACAGGCAAATGAGGATGAGGTGACATTACTATATTAGGTGGGTGCACAACTGATCAAAAACCCTCCTCAAAGAGTATTTATCAACGGTTCACTGTCAGACTTGCAGAGTGTCTCTAGTGGGGTTCCGGGGTCAGTCCTGGGTCTGGTGCGATCCAATATTTTCATGAATGACTTGGGTAATGGAGCGGAGAGTGTGCTTTGCAGATGACACCCAGCTGGGAGGGGTTGCAAGCACTTTGGAGGGCAGGATTAGCATTCAAAACGCCCTTGACAAATTGGAGAATTGGTCTGAATTCAACAAGATGGAACTCAATCAAGACAAGTGCAAAGTACGACACTCAGGAACACAAAAAGATTAAATGCACACCTACAAAATGGGGCATCACTGGCTAGGGGGTCGTACTGCTGACAAGGATCTGGGGGTGATAGTGGATCACAAATTGAACATGAGCCAACAACATGATGCAGTTGCAAAAAAATAAAAGGCTAATCTCATTCTGGGGTGTAGTAATGGGTGTGTTGTACATGAGACACGGAAGGTCATTGTCCTGCTCTGTTCGGCCCTGGGGAGGCCCCAGCTGGAGAACTGGGCCCAGTTCTGGGCACCGCGCTTTAGGAGAGATGGAGACAAACTGGAGAGAGTCCCGAGGAGAGCAACAGAAATGATTAAAGGCTTAGAAAACCCGACCTGTGAGGAAAGGTTAAAAAACTGAGGGGGGGACCTGAGAACTGTCCTCAAATGCATTCAGGGCTGTTATTAATCAATTGTATTTGATTTGCTTCCCTACCCATCCCTGAAATGTCCTCACTTCTCTCCATTCACCCCCCCTCTGTTGCTTCGAGGGACCCTGTGGGGATGATCAAATCCTTCTCTTTATCCCTGAGAAATGCCTCGAATTCTGCAGGGCTGCCAGTGTTCAGAGCCAACAGGTGGGTCCCGCTATCACAGGTCAGGATTCAGTGAGACGCTGAAGCGTGGTGCTTACTGTTAAGCACGTGATTTAGCCTCCATGTGCTTACAGTTAAGCATGTGCTTGCGTGTTGGGTCAGAGCTTTTGAGCCCAGGCTTCTGTTCCCAGCTGGGCCACACAATCTCCCTCGCAGGTTTGGCCAACAGTTTCCAAAGTGGCCTGTCATTTGGGTGGACCTGCTGTAGGGGACGCTGCCGAGGGCAGGAGAGGCTGGACTTGGCTGTGATGACTGTAAAGGAAAGTTCTTTACTGTGTCTGCTGGACCCGGACTGACCCTTTGGTCCCCCCGAGGATTCTAGCTCCTGGCCTGTGCTGCCTCATTTCACCACTAGAGGCCACTCTCAGACTAATTTGGCTTCTTGATGGCCCCACCCACTACAATTGAAATCCCTCCCCCCCAATCAATTTAAAATTTCCAAAGACTTTGGTCTCCAGTTTGTTTTATTAAGTGGAACAATCTAAAGGGGAAGCGAATCCGGCTGGGAGCCCAGAGCCCCTGGGAGGGGAGAGCAGCTGCAGAGAGGGGCAGACACAGGCAGCCGGGGTGTTATTGAATGTGGCAGGGCCATTGCATGGGGTGGGGAATCAGGAGAGAAATTTCAGCAGGAGGAGCCCAGTGAGGGTGGGAAGAAGGAGCCCGGCTGGTCCCAGAGCTGTGCCGGCCGCGCTGGTGGCTGCTCTGCATGTGTGCTTGGGTAGATCTCCACGGATCCCCAGGAAGGTCCCAGAACCTGCATTTACCTGGGAGCACACGGACACGGTAACGCAGCCCTTCATGATGATCTTAGTGGTATTTCCACCTGTATGGGGGGGGGGGGAGGAGGAAGGAGGCGATCGGGGTGAGGGGAGCAGCTCCATTCCTTGACTGGACTAAGAAATAACAGCCCCCCCTTCCTCAACTCTGCCCCTGTGACCCCCACTGAGCCCCCCCCCAGCCTCCATCTCCCCATCGCCTCTGCTCTCACCAGCATGTCTGGCCCTGGATGGCCTCCCCCTGCTCCTTTAATGTGACACAGACTCACAGGGTGTCCATGAACAAGTCACTTGCAGTCCCGACCTAGATCCCGCCAACAACACCTGGATTGACTCATGCCTGTTTTATCCCCACAGTTCATCTAACAAAGCAGCAGCTCCCTGTTGGTGGCAGCAGTGGGATCTCTAAGAAGGGTGGCTTCACAGTGAGTTAAGGCACCATGATGGGACTTTGCAAAGCTAGGCTCAGTTCCGAGCCCTGCCACAGCCTCCCGGTGTGACCTGGGGCAAGTCACGGCACTGCTCAGTGCCTCTGTTTCCCCATATGTTAAATGGGGAGAATGATCCCCACTATGCTGACAGAGATTGCAGGCTCTTTGGGGCACAGACTTTATCTCCCTATGAGTTTTTAGAGCCCAGCACAGCCTGGGTCCCTTTTCTTTCCTGGGGGTCTGCGCAGTCCAGGCATGAGAGGGGCTCCCAATACTATATCAGACCCTACCATGAAGAGCTTAGAGATTGAACTATAGACAGGCAATGGATGGAGGAGAACCAGAGGAACAGGGAGGGGGAGACACTGGCGCAAGGTCACACCGGAGGCCAGCGCTGGGAACAGATCCCAGGTGTCCTGATCTGCAGCCGATACCTTTCCCTAGTGGCCTCCACCCAGCATCTCGCTTCTGCTCTACGCGGGGGGAAAAGAGCGGAGGAAAAATACCCCCAGAATAAATGAACGGAAGTTACCAGATTTTAGGGGCCCGGCAACGTCCAAACAGTGGGTCTCGGCTCCAGTACACTGTATGGTCTCTTCACGGCACTGCTCAGAGGACAGAGAGTAGCAGCCACGGCAGCTCCGGCCGTTGGGTTTGGTGTCAGCCGGGGGCACTGGGAAGAAGTGGAGCAAACGCAGTCAGCTCGGGGGACGCGCCCCAGGCGGCGTCGGGACAGGGAGAGCAGCTGGGGGCTGCACAGCTCAGCCCTGGGTGCCCCTGCAGGGGGCGCTGTAGCTCTGGGGATGCCGGGGGCAACAGGGGCAGGGGAGAGGTTT